ATCTAACTCACAATTAGCCCCAGACCTCCCTCCTCTTGTTTTCTGAATTGAGGCTGATGGTCTAAATCTTCTTTTAAAGCTGTTTGTTGTACAATTATTATTACAAAAGCAAATGTTTATTGATGTTCTTAGTGATGGAGATAACTATTACACCTCTAATTTCACAGCTAAACCTTACTCAATGAGAAGCTATTACTGTGATTTACTGTGGAATCAAAATTTTCTACACTTTACCACACCTTTTATTTGATTAAATAAGGGCAGCAAAGGGAAGGGAGTGCAATTTCTCCTTTTCCTGTTCTGAAGACTACTGTCGGTTACTGAAGGAAGCAAGACAGGGTATGCGTTCATCAGTACACATTTATGTTGAACACAACCAGGCTGACTTCCCAGCTTTCCTACGCTGGTGGTTACCCTGGAAGAAGGAATGGCACGAACATTTACTTCAAGAAAAACAGCCAGGAGTTAGCTGACAAGCACAATGCTATGTAAAGCAGTAGCTGATCTCACAGGCTCACACTACTCAGGGATCGTTTGTTTTCACACGAACGGGTGCGATTCCATCCAATCTCAGTTCTTGTCATGGAAGGCAGAGAGGCAGAGACTGAAGCAGTATCAACGCACAGTTTTACCACTAACAACATCTCTGAACCTGTCAGTTTGCTTCGTTTTCGTAAGGCACGAATGTTATTTTCCCTTTTCAAACAGCTTGTGTCCAATTAACTTCCATTTGTGAAGTACAGGGACTCACAAGGTACTGCAAAGCCAGGGTTTCTTCCCTTAAGTAAGGAACAGTCATTCTGAATGTTATAATGCGAGCGAGGATAATTATACCTTACGCTTCACACCGCTCCTTTGAAGCCTGCAACACAGAATCCACTGTCAGTAGTTACTAAGCCCTTTTTTATTCCTTTTAGCCTAAGTAAGACTTCACTATGGACCCAAATCCCATGATTAACATCACCTCCTGTGATCATGGTTCTGATTTCTGGAAGAAAACAGTCATCTCAGATGGTCATCTAGAAGCACAAGATGACCAAAATGTTGCAGAAAACTTACCCATTTCTGCACAGATTAAAACTTGAAATTACAAATACATTCCAATATAATTATCTGAATGCCTCTGGTTTTCAATTAAAGGGAACTGAAACTAATGAAAGTGAACTCAAAAATAAGTAATTTTATATAATAAAATTACCTGACAATAAGACCAGAGTTGTTGGCTCTTTCTACCTGTATTTTTATTGCTTAGCAATTTTGATTTTTGTTTACTTCCTAACCATACACACCCATACTGATCTTTAGATCTTATTAATTGTATGAAACTGGCTAATATTTCAAGAGTTTTATGCAAAATATTTTCATTACGGAGCACATGCAAACTTGAGGATTGATGCAATAATTGCACTTTTTCAATCTATGTTTGGTTATGGATGCCTATGCTATAAAACAGACAAAGAAAAAACCAAAATGCTTTTCTAGGCCAGTAAGTGTAGGATTCACGAACGTATCGAAAAGTCCATTCTGTGCCTTTTATAACCATGGGTCACATTTCAGAGCTCTGTCTTTAAAACCTGATAATTTTGTGTATTTAGTGGTAATAAGAAAAAAAAAATTCCATTAGTAACTTTAAGAAACTGTAAAGCACTGAGTGCCAAATGTAATCCTCGAATTCAGTCGCTCACGCCCCTCTCTTCCTTAAGGCTGCTCTAAACAGCTCTTCTCCATTTATTACCTAGCTCAGATTACACCAAAGCGTAGTGCAAAGGCCAGGGGAACATCACAATTTCACCCATATTTTCTAGCATCTGTACTTTTTTCACAGGTGTTGCTATAAAGGCAAAAAGGCTCTGACCTTCAGGTCAAATCACAGGGCACTTAGGTGTTGGTAGAACAGAAGGAGCTTAAATAACCATGATTTGCACATATGGACCAAAGGAGACTATACTACAGGCATGTCATTTTTCAAAGTGAATTTGGAAAAGAGGCAAAGATGTGCCCAATACATCCCTGCCAGTCCTTCTTGCTCATTTAAAATCTTCTTCTTGCTCATTTTCCCCTGTTTTGGTTTCCAGTAATCACTGGAACTATTTTAATCAGTTACCCAAGGAATAAAACCAACTGGACTAAAAAACCTCCACCTTGACACTGTCTTGCTTACTAGTCTCAAGTTTTGCTTCTGATCACATACAGAAGAAATACCTAGGATCTTTCTAAATCAGGCAGAGGATAAACCCATTTTCTACTGTACCAATTTTGATTTGGCACAGGCAGTAAAGTAAGTGTGCTTCATAAAGATACATCTAAAAACCCTGCCATGTCTAACGTCCCGATTTAAAACCTTTAAGTCACGTTGTTCTTCTGAACCATTTCAGTGTGCTGCAGTCTCTTAAGGTGCTACAGGGCATCTTCTTTCTTTCACTCAGCTGCTGACCTTACTCCATCATCTGCTGACACTTCTTTCCCTCACACGTGCCTAATTATCAGGCAGCAAAGCAAGTTAAAAAACATCCAACACGACAACAAACCAAACCCAAATTCCCCTAAACTACTCTGACTTCCAACCATCTCTGCACTCCAGGTCCCTTCAGCAAGTTGACGCAGTGGCGCTGCACTAGAAGAGCAGCCACCTGCCTCGTTACCAAGGTTAAATTCCGATGTCAGGATAACTGCGAGGAATCTGCACGCCATTCCAGGAGAGTTTCTGAGTGAAACAGAAAGCAATGGGCACTCCTTTTATTTTGCCTATAGCCAAAAGCCACAAACTGCTTGTCATATATTGGCTGTGACAAGGCATAATCCATCCTTTACACTCAATGTAGTGTGGAGTAATGTCATGGGAATGCAGGGGTTTTGAACAGGCACTACAAATCCCGCAGCGTCGGGAATACTGAACAGCACCAGTATCTAGAAACAACTTCTTCACCGTGTTAGCATTACTTTTGGAGATCTCTCTTTAATTCCAGTTTCTTGGAGCCAGTCACATATCACTGAAATGCTACAGCACAGAACAGAAACCACTTGCAAATATTTTCAGTACTAAAGCAAATTCTTGATACATCTATTCAAAAACAAGCCACAGAAGGGTTTAAAAAGGAATCTGGCAGTTTGGTTTGACGTCAGTGACACCCGAGTACCTAGCTCCTAGAGGCTCTTCTAGCCTCCCTCCTCCTGCCAAACAAGAAGCTTTGTTATTACCTGTTCTGTGCTTGGTGGAGGTAGGATAAGAAGTACAATTGTTTAAACATTCCTCTGGTCAACCTGGGAATCCTTTTAACAATCTTCTAATGAACCCTCTGAAAGTCTGCCTAAATAATACTGAGCAGAACAGTACTTTGTCAAAAACAGGACACAAAAAAGAAAGCGTCACCACGACACCAACGTGCAAGGAGACCACCCAGCTGAAGCGTCACGTTTGGCACCTTGGCGGCGCGCTACCAGGCGGGGAGACATCTGGCAGATTTTCATCCAAGTGCTACGACGAGGCAAGCTCGGCCAGGCTGACGGCGACTCTGCTAGCGTCGCCGGCTCCTGTACACGCGGCACGGAGGCACTTCTCCAAGCTGAGTCACTTTGAGTCAGCGTCTCCTACCTCTGAACCCCAACGCATGAGGCAGAAGTAGAATCATAGCTGCTACCCCTGCAGTCTTGCTCTGCTATCCTGTACTTACTACACTGTTCTCTCAGGCAGCAGAAGAGATTAGCTGCTGGCACTTGCTCTCCTGCATCAACCTGCACTCTCTCAGTGAAGTAATGGGGTCAGCCTGCCTGCTTTCTCTCCTACAGGCACACGCACATACACACAGGAGATTTTGCACTTACGGGTGTTATTTTTAATTTATGTGCAGCTCACCCTGTATGGAGAAGGAAGAGGGCTGTGTGCTGGTTCTGGCTGGGCTAGAGTTCATTTTTCTCACAGGAGGGGGCTGTGTTTTGGATTTGTGGAAGCAGTGTTGTTAACACAGGGATGTTTTAGCTGTTGCTGAGCAATGCTCGCACAGAGTCAAGGCCTGTTCTGCTCCTCACCCCACCGGTGAGGAGTCTGGGGGGGCACAAGGGGTTGGGAGGGGACACAGCCAGGACAGCTGACCCCAACTGACCAAAGGGATATTCCAGACTGTATGGCATCATGCTCAGCATATAGAGCTGGGGAAGAGGAGGGAAGGGGGATGTTTGGGGTGAGGGCTTTTGTCTTCCCAAGTAACGGTTATGCATGATGGAGCCCTGTTTTCCTGGAGATGGCTCAACACCTGCCTGCTGATGTGAAATGGTGAATGAATTCCTTGACTTGCTTTTCTTGTGCGCGGCTTTTGCATCACCTATTAAACTGTCCTTATCTCACCCCGCGAGTTTTCTCACTTTTACTCTTCCAACTCTCTCCCCCATCCCACGGTGGGGGGGAGTGAGCGAGCGGCTGTGTGGTGCCTAGCTGCTGGCGGGGGTTAATCCATGACAGGCCGTTACACAGCCACTTGTCTAAGCAGCAGGTTCAGTCTCAAAGACAGCAGGTCTTTGAATAAAAGATATATAATGCATACACCTTATTATGAATGTATGAATAAAAGGAACATGTGAATGCTATAAACTAAAAGATCAGGTATAACAAGTTGTCTTTTCCAGGCACTGTTAGCCAAAGAATATAGAGTGGGTATCTGGCATAATCACCAATTCAGTGAATTGCAATCAGGGGATTAATTCATTATAAACAGTCCATGAAGTTCATGGCAGACACCTTACTATAAATCTCCTTAAAAAGCTGTCAACTTGCAATTTATATAAATAACTACTCCAAATAGCTCACAGAAAGACAGCAATCCTGTTTTACAATCAGTGAATGCAGTTAGTGCCTTTTCACTCACACCGCAGTATGACAGCATATATAATAATATTAATTCTTAGTGCTTACTCCTGAGAACACCCAAAAATTCACCTCAGGTTGTCAGGGAACATCTGAGCTCCGGAACAACCTCTGCCTTACTTTGCAGTACTGTCTTCCTTACCTTCAGTTGCCTTGATCGTGTAGCCATTCTCTTCATTTGGTGGTACTTCAAGAAGCTGCATGACCCTGTCCAGCAAACCATGGATAATCTCAAACCCAGGGCTCTTGTTGTAATAAACTGCACAGAAATGCCTGTAGTTTCTTGCACCTACATCTGAAAAGGGAGGAAACAATTATGTTACCTGGGAAACTTGATCACACTTTCAACCTTGACGTTTGCATCAGTTTTCTGCTGTTGTACTGTGAGGCACTTGTGGCTGAAAGGAGAAATGAGTATGTAAAATGACACAACTGTCATACAATCTGAGGAATTAATGGGTTTTCTTAAACCCACCAGACTCTCACAGCCAGAAATGTAATGAAAGACTTAAAGCATCCTATGCCTTGGGAAGGAAATAGGGTCATTAAATACAAATACCTTCTGCACAGTGACAGGTACCAAGCATACAGTTAAGTGTTAAAGAAATTAAAACCAGACTAGCCAAAATGCAAATAGTCAGTAAGCAACAGGAAACTTGTGATGCTGGTGGGAAAATGAAGTATTTATAGGACTTGGCTGCAGAATAACTACCAGTACAAAACACCTAACCCACAACTTGAAATTAGCAGTAACGTTAGCACGGTGACCTATGAAAAGATGTAAACTCACACGGGTTTCCAGATCACAACTGATGCTTTTCGTGATCATTGTGGACACTGAAAATTTTGCTACATTTCACTTAAGAGTGGCATGAGTGTCTCCCTCCTGGGACAGTTCCTTGAGTCAAACCCTGCCTTCTCCCTGCTGTAAGCTTTCTTACCGTACTGATTTCCTCAAAATGCACTGTTCTTTTTCAGACTTTCAAAGTAAGTATGCAGTAGTACGTTGCTACTCGTACCTTTAGGCTACACCACTGCCATATACACTTTGTAGGGCTACTGTGGCCCACTTCAAAGCTCATTGTGGGTTTCAGCATTTTCACTTTCTGAGAGGAACAATCTAGGAACAGATTAACAACTCTACTGTCACAGCTGCCAATCAGCAGCAGCGAAATTCAAGATAAATGTACTGAACTCATCGCCTTCAGGCCTTTACCTTCTCAAGGTTCAAGTGAAAGCATGCGTTCAGCAAGGCTGGTGTACACAAGGGCAAAGTTGTCTGAAACTCTTGATGGGACTGTCCTCTTCTTTGGACATTCCTAAGTACATAGACTGCACTTCAGTTTGGACCAGACCTGCACTCTGAAGGTATTCTCCTCATCATCCCGGCTTCACACTGCGAAGCTACCCTGGGGCATACAAACCTGAGTCCTTTCAGTTGCCGTTCAGTAGGACAAGTGTTCCCAGAAAGGCACCTAAATAGCTTACACCACTCAAGGCATTCAGCCCACAGGATCAGCCCCGAACTAGTCAGAAGGACAGCTCACGTGGACGTGGCATGGACTGCATGCCACCAGCTGATCGGTACTGCACTGCTTCCTAATACCGACACAGAGCGCGACAAGCTGCAGCCAGGTTTTCATGCATCAATTTCTTCCCTTTCTAGAGAGTCCTCTGGCTTCTGCAGTCTCCTAGTTGCTCATGAACAGATGGATATTCTCTTCTTTCTCCTCCACTTAGCGGTGACCAGATAGAGGCAGGAAATGTATTTACTGATGGCAGCTGTATTCCCTTCTGGTCTATAAATACCTGTAATGTTTGAGGGGAAAGAGGGAATAAGACCTTCAGAATGAAGGAATGAAGAAAGAGCAAGTCTGTCTGGCCTGCAAGCTAAGGTGGGGCAGCACCATGTGACATAGCTGCCTGTGTAAGGCCTTCATCCTTCCTTCCAGAAATAACCCAAAACAAAGACACATGAAATCCGGTAGATGCCAGGGTGAATTTTCTTTATGCAGTCAACCAAGCACGTCAGGACGTCTGGTTGTGAAACACCTTGGCTGGACTTAGTGTTCCCCGAAAGAAAGGCACTGCACTGCACAGTGCTCAACGGGAGAGCGTGGTTAAAGATCCCTGCACGGTTAGTGACACCGGAGGCGTTACAGCTACACCTGCCCTCTGACCTGTGTTTCCACGTAGTTCTGGATATAAGTGTGAGAACTGGGCACCTCAGGCTGTTCTTCTTTACAGGTATCAGCCGTCAGCTGCTGCATTCAATACCAGAAACAGGGCACGTGGAAATCAACGGGAGCCAAGCTCAAAAGAAAAGGAGCGCGTTCTTCAGGCAGCACGGAGTTGAGTAGTGAAACTCCTTCCCCACAGGACTTTGCAGAAGTCTACACAGCTCCGAGGAGGCAGAGGAAGTTCAGAGCAGATAAGTCTATAGTTACTAGAGACGAAGAACCATGTTTGAGTCAGGAAATCCCTGAGCTACTCATGGCTGGAGAACAGGGGACACTCTGGATGCATTATATATGCACACCTGCTCCCGTGCTTTCCCCTTGACCAGTTCTAGCTAGAGTGACAGACAGCTTTCTGGGCTACACGAGCCTTTGGTCTGACCCACCAGGGCTGATCTTTGTGCTTGCTGTACAGTGAGCCTACATACAAGCAGAAACTCCAGCACTCATTGAGTGTTCCCTGAACTGTTAAAATCTACCACAAAAGAAATTAGAGATTTTTATAAAAATTAAATTTACATCTTGCTTATATGTTCCAACTAACCATTTAGTTAGAAAAAAATCTGTCAAAAGCTAAACTGGAAAACGTTTATCCAGTGGCCAGAAACACACAGATTTAAAAAGACTGCAAAACACAGGAGCAAGAGCCTACACCAAAGATGAAAGCACAGCCTTTCTGAGCCAAAAGTCACTCAAAACTTCTGGGGCAGCAACTTGGCAATACAGCTGCAAGTTTTCTCAGCACTCACTGAAAGCTGAACTTACTGTGGCCTGCCTTTTGTCATTCGGGATCTTTTGCCTGACACTGCAAGAATTTGCAGCGTTGAATAATGCGGGAGAATGCAATCCTGAAGTTAAAATGGCAACACAGCAAAGTAAAGGCTACGGAGAAGGTATCGATAAATGCAACACCTGATTTCTGGTCTGAGCATGCTGGCTATTCAGTCCCAGCATATATATCTCCATTTCCCAGCTCTGCTATCGGTAATACAGCCCTGAATCATAGAATCACAGGATGGGTTGGGTTGGAAGGGACCTTAAAGATCATCCAGTTTCAACCCCCCTGCCATGGACAGGGACACCTTCCACTAGACCAGGTTGCTCCAAGCCTCATCCAGCCTGGCCTTGAAGACATCCAGGGATGGGGCATCCACAGCTTCTCTGGGCAACCTGTGCCAGTGCCTCACCACCCGCTCCGGGAAGAACTTCTTCCTGACAGCTAATCTAAACCTCCCCACTTTCAATTTAAACCCGTTACCCCTTGTCCTGTCACTACAGGCTCTTGTAAAAAGTCCCCCCCAGCTTCCTTGTAGCCCCTTCAGGTACTGGAAGGTGCTATAAGGTCTCCCCGGAGCCTTCTCTTCTCCAGGCTGAACAAGCCCAACTCCCTCAGCCTGTCCCCATGGCAGAGGTGCTCCAGCCCTCTGAGCATCTTCGTGGCCTCCTCTGGACTCGCTCCAAGTGGTCAATATCCTTCTGAGGTTGTAGGTTCCACAGCTGGACACAGAACTGCAGGTGGGGTCTCACCAGAGCAGAGTACAGGGGCAGAATCCCCTCCCTCGACCTGCTGGCCACACTTCTCCTGATACAGCCCAGGATACGGTTGGCTTTCTGGGCTCTGAATGATGGATAATTTGTTTTCAAGTTGTACTGAGTAACAGAAAAGAAGAAAATGTTTTTCCCTTCCCTAAGATAGCACATTCTTTGGGCTAGACATTCAGTAGAATGGTTTTTCCTTTTTCCTGTGAGTCATTATGCTAGCAGAATTTGTCACAACGATCTGAATTTTAATTTCATTATTCAAACAGTCAAGTGTCTTCAGATCACTTCGGAAGCATCAGAAGTAAACACAAACAACAATTTTTAGACCTCACGTTTTCAACTGTAGAAATCCCTGGTGAAGGAAAGGACGCATTTCCAAGCACTCGAAAAAGCTGTGTTGCAAAACTGATACATTACAACACAAGAAGTTCATTCACCAGAGGCGATAGGAAGAAAAAAAAGAAAGTATTAGGAACTGTAGGCAAAAGCTGGCATACGTTAGAAATGCTTCAGTTCTTTATAACTCACTTAAGAGATCTCTTGTGTCATGCCACGAAACGTTTCTCTTTCTTAAACCAGCCTGCCAAGTATGTCAACCTAAATTATATATATATATATTTCTGAGACTTCAAAGCGCTTCCTGGGAATGCTGCTGAAAAACAATCCACAGGATGGGCAGCTGGTTAGGAATAAGTGAGCCAAAAGAGCGCAGAGGAAGATAAAGCAGTGTTGTGCGCTGCCCCCATCCCAATTAGAGATGCTTCAGAAAAACGCCTTGGTGATCTGAAAGGGGGCACCTGCTCATCTCAGCTTGTCTCTCAGCCTCACAAAAATCCCCGGCCGTTTTCTGCGTATAACTAACGTTTCCAGGCAGTTTGGAAAAATGCTTCAAAATACGGCAGCAGCTGTACTCACAAATGATGTAAATTGTGCTACATGTGTGCTACCGTAAGCTTGCCAGATTCTCAAAGATCAGCGCTCAGGGGTGATTTTCTAATGGATTAATTTCTTTCGTCGTGGTAGGGAAGAGAAAGGGCATTCTCTGCTAGGACTGGCGGTACAGAGTGATGATTTATACGCTGAACTAGTGCACCTACCCTGCCAGAAGTGACTGACTAGTGTTACGAGCTAACCACACGACGGCCGCGTAACATACTCAAAATCAGCACACTTCCTCCTGCCCTGAGAAGAAACATTTCTGCTCAGATTTGGTTCCATTTAGGTATATTAAATCTGGCACACGTTTCGCTAATTTAGGACGTCAAACCTTGCTGCCAGATGTGTCTGAAGTGTGTTCAGTTCACCTTGGAAAGCAGGAGTCCTGGGTAAGAAGGTATTGCATTGGAAAGCAGTGTGTTTAAAAGAGCTAGGTTCATTCACACATGAATGACTACAAGATGCCATTTCAAATACAGTTAGTGTCAGTACTCTTCTGACCCATACTTTTTAAATTAATAATTGGAAATTCTGCATGCCAAAATCATGAAATAATAAAATTAAATTAGTCAGTCTGATGACATAAGCCTTCTGCAGGAAATCTCATTCCATATGTAAGAGGACAACTCAGTGTTCGCAGACTTACCAGTCATTTCTTTCTCCCCTCCCCCTTCAAACCCTTTACTAGGCAAGTTTTAATTTTGAAAGTAAAGCTGGGGAAGACGGTAGTTAACTCTGAACACAGCGTTAAAGCCAACGTCAGATACTGTTCGCAGTCTGCAAGTGCTCAACCCGCGAGTGGGCTGCCCAGGAGCACAGGGTACAAAGCCGCTGCCTCGGAAGTCTTTATGCTCCATCTGTTGCAACGATTCCCATCAGAATTAAGTACACTACAAAACCAGTGGGTATAAACTGCTGAGCAGCCATCCACACACATGAAAGCTTTCCAGAGCTACAATTAACACACATGAAATAAAAGCAGTGATTTAACTGGCAAATTTTATAAAGCCAGAACGAACGCGCTCCTTAGGCCAAGATAAACAGCCCCCACTCCCGGTTCTGAAGAATGCTGACGCTATCCTGCCCTCTGTACCATTCCAGCTAACTGCGTGCCCAGCAGGGAACAAGCTGCCCCACCAAACTGTCTGCATTTAATAAAAAAAATTCTACACAGTTTGCTTATTTTGCTTGGCAAGGCCTTTTTTTTTTTTTAAAAAAAAAGGTAACCTACAAATTAAATTCATCACCAAAGCAATTTGCTTGCCATTTTGTTTATGCCTTATACAAACCTTTGTTTTGCAGATCTCAGATACCTTAAACACAACCACTGTGATCTGAAACCAGATAATGAAACAACAGACCCATTTCTGCTGCTGAATTTAAAGTCATGTCAGCCGCCTTCACCGAGAGGCGAAACTTCACCCGGAGTGGTAACTCGGTGTACATCCACTTCCCCCAAAAGCTGTAGTTTGTGCATGCCCTTTCCCCTAATATACCACATAGAAAGAAACGAATTGGTAGATTTTAGACAGATTTTCAACATTTAAAAATGCATTTTTAAAGATCATTTTCCTTTGATACATTTTTCCATACAAAAAGGATCATTTGCAACTTCAGTCTTGTGCAGTGAAATCAGTGCAAAGAGGCCCCCTAACAGACGAAGGATTTCACCCAAGCTTTTGACAAGTGAACTAGCTGCTTTGGCTGTTCTGCGTAAACCAGTGACGGACACAGAACAGTCCAAAGGCAGGCACGCTTCCTGAGCACAGTTGGCTGAAGTGGAAAGATAAGGAAAATCTTTTTATAGATTAAAGGAGAAATTTTACGATGCCAAGCTTTTTATTTCTTTACACATTTTTATATGTAATATAAAAATCTCCATCCTTTACCCTCTATCTGTGCTACAGATCTAATCCTGATATTGGTTGTCAGTTTTCCAGAAGATAATTTTGGAGAATAAATGCAAGCAACTCTGTTGAAAGATGATGGAAAGATGGAAAAGGGATTCATGTGAGACACATTGACCCCAACATTTTCCTCTGAGTTACAGCTCTCCAGAACAGAATTGGTGTGCAAGTACAACCCTGAGGTTCTGATAGCAGCCTGCTTTCCATATTTACCACTTTCCAAGGATTGTGCCCCTTGGAAACATCACCAACAGGGAGTTTCTCCTATGAGTTACAGTCCTGACAAGCACACAAAGGAGCATTAGAGGTTAAGAACAAGTAAAAACGGGTGTATCAACATAAGCAATTAAGAGCAGGTTCTTTTGGGGTGAAAAATTGTCTTGCCTTTATCCTTGCAGTCTTGCAGGATTTAAAGGGATATTTAGGTGCCTAAAAATATATACAAGCTACCCTCCTCTTGCCCTTCTGAGAACTGTATCTCCAGCCACTCTGAAATCTAACCTCTTATGCCAACCTCTTGCATGTAAATTAGAACACAGAATGTCGTATGTAGCGATGATTATATTTCTAAGGAAATACAGATTTACTTACTATTACCATATCAAAGGTTTTGAGGAACCTTCTCTTACCTGTATCAGGATCTTTTACTACGACGTCCGAAATCTCGAAGAGTTTGAGGGGCAGGGGCATCTTTCGGTTAGCAGCAATAGTTTTCAGGAGCCCAGGAAGGAGGGTTGTACGCGCCACCTGCAGGACAAACGTGCATGATGCAAGTGAAATACCTGCCAAAATATGCTCCAGGTTTTTTTTTTTGTTTCGCTCACTTGTAACAAGAGTTCAAAAGCAGTCGGGTGCAAATACTGTACTAATCTCTTATGTCTAAGCATCTTTGTTTTACAATGATTAAACCTGAAAATGTACATTTTCTGCATATTCTTTACACTGCCTTTTCTGGAAAAGTATGTATGTGAGCTTAAGAACAGATGTCATTTCACAGATTAAACTTGAGCTGCAGTGCAGGGTAGAAAAACAAATAATACAGGAAGAAGGGCAAAAAGTCCCATAAATTTAATTTCACCTACACAAAAGGTAAATAGTAAGTGTTATTCTGAAAATATTCAGTTCTATCTGAAATACTATCTTGATGCCTCCTGATACCAATCAACACTATAGTCAGAGCCTGAGGAACAGGAACTAGTGTCTTTGTATCGCAGTTGTGGACAACCTGAAATACACCGAAAATGTATGCGAAGAACCGAGGCGAGAGGCAATCATATTGCTGTTCTTACAGATACATTCACAGGTATCTCCTGTGTTCTCCATGCAAATACTTCCTCAGAAGTGCACTCTCCTTTTTTTCTTTCCCAAAGGGAAGAGTCTGATTCAGTAAATCTAATGGAAAAGGGACAGGAGTGACTGCCTGCAGCTTGACTGCGGGTAGAAAAGTTACCATGTGCTCAGCCAGAGTTACTTCTTACCATTGGTCATGCAGCATTTCTGTCCATTTATCCTACTTTTCCTAACCAGTGAAGAGATCCAGCTGCACACTCAGCTGGAAGGGAGTCCCCGGCATCATGCTGTCCTTGTCTGGCTGGCAGAGGATAGGGGATGGGGGAAAAGGCACCCTACGAATCCCATCACAGTCAACATCTCAAGCAGAAAGTTAAGTGCATCACAAAGAGTAAGCCTTCCCAATTTTCAGGGAGGCCTGCAGAGTTTGAAAGATTGAGGCTATTCTTGCCAAAAGGAATATTCAGCCAATAATAACAGAGCTGCTTAGCCTGCAGTCTTTGAAGAACAGGAATCTGAAATCGCACCTGGCTAGAGGGGCTGACTTCTCATTTGTTCACCCAGTATTGTTTGCTCGTGGCACATTCTGTGTTGCCCAGCTGTAACACCCCCGCCAAGCGCTACATAGGAACAGGCAGTCATAGTCTGAGCGGGTTACACTGGTGCCTTGCACGACTGCGTATCTGTGGCACCAAATAGAACACAAAATACATGAGGCTACCCAAAAATTCTGTTCCTGAATCTCAGAGCAGTAGAAGACTATTTTTAGTATTAGAGATAAGATCTAGTGGCCAGCAGGTCGAGGGATGGGATTGACCTCTTGGAGCGAGTCCAGAGGAGGCCTCAGAGACGCTTCGAGGGCTGGAGTCCCTCAGTTATGGGGACAGTCTGAGAGAGTTGGGGTGTTCAGCCTGGAGAAGGCTCCAGGGAGACCTCATTGTGGCCCTTCAGTATTTAACGGGGCCGTGCCACAAAGATGAGGCTTCTTAGCAGGGCCTGTTGCCATAGGACAAGGGGTAATGGTTTTGAACTAAAGGAGGGTAGATGTAGAATAGATATAAGAAAGAAATGGTTTACAACGAGGGGGGTGACACACGGGAACAGGTTGCCCAGAGGTGCCCCGTCCCTGGAAACATTCAAGGTCAGGCTGGAAGGGGCTCTGAGCAACCTGGTCTAGTTGGAGGTGTCCTGCTCACTGCAGTGAGGGTGTGGACTGGAAAGCCTTTAGAGGGCCCTTCCACCCAAACTCTTTAAATACAGAATAGGTGTCAACGTTGCTCTCAAAATTTGACCTGAATTCTCCCACCTGAAATTCTGCAGTTTTGGGGTTCGCTATGCGGACTGCTTTTGTGGCAGAGATATCCATGCCAAGTTTATCAGCAATGTCTTCTTGAGAACACTGAGAGGAAGAGACAAAAAACCAACAAGGTCAAGTAGTTAAAACAGACAGTAGGCCAACAACAACATCTGACACTGAGAATGAACAATGCAACTGTAGCACTTGCTCTGAGGCCCCATAATATACGCCCTCATGTGCAACACCCCTCATAATAAAAATTAAGCCCCAGTCTTAAGACTAAGTAGGCAAACTAGTTTATCTACAAACGCTAATTACTAACTAAAATAAAGCTAATTAAAAAGAAAAAAAGGTAAGGGTTTGTTTAGGCTTCTGTCACAGATCGCTGTCATCCGTTTTAAAAACAGAGGCTCGGATTCTGCCCCCGACTTGCAGCAGGTGAAGTATTTTATTCTGAAAATAGCACTTGTAAAGGGACTGGTACCCCAGCTTTCTCACAAAGAAAACAGTCCCTTGGGGGCTACTTACAGAAAGTAAAGCACTGGCTATGAAAAATAGCTCATATGGCCAAGGCCTTTGATTTTCATAGCTGCAAAGGATTCCCACAGGTCACTGCTGCTGTAATTTTTCTGAGTTGGAATATTTTTAAAGCCCTTATTCTCAAGGTGTATTTTAAAGCTGGTCAGTAGAGCAATACACATGCCCTTGATCCGGCTCAGATGATGTCTGTGCACATACAGCAACAGATGCTACTCGTAAGATCCACGCTACAGATTTCCAGAATTTATAGCTTTATTAATGTATTAAAGAAACCAACAGCAGACTAGGCATGTAATTGAGGATTTGCTAGTATACTGCAGTCTCCCCCAAGCGTTCCCTTTGCACTGGCAGCGCTCCGAAAAGTGTGTTGATAGCCCAAATGTGAGAATGAGCAGATGATACCATCTGAAAAAGTGGATTATTGAATTAAAAAAAAGTATCCTAACTGAATGCTGACCTTAGGAGGAGAAAACTGTGTTAAACAGTTTTCAGATGTGTATCTGAACTACAGCATGTTACTGTGACTTAATGCATTCTGGGTAAACTGGAGCTCCTCACAGAAAGCACTGTTACTGTGTGCAAGTCTGGTCTGGGGCTCGAACCAAGAAAACGGATTGTATGCACCAATACACAAGCAGTGTTTATCATACAACACTGCGCTACACCACGCTGCAGCATGAGTGACGTCTGTCACAGTCACAGGCCTCACACTGCTGGTGACGCAGCAGACTGCGGGTTTCATCACGCCACCGCAGACAGACAGATACGTAACGGGACAACATGATACACTGCCTCATCTTACAAAATTCTGCTGCTGCGGTTCACAAAGGTTCTCAGTTGTTGTGGTGAAATATATTCAATGTTTTTAAGCATATTACCTATTCAGTGCTGAAAATTTTGAATTATGGTTATTAATAAGGAAAATCTATCAAAGCTTGACCATGTTACAATTTCCCCAGCATGGTACTACCACAGGCGGTCTGAATACCTTTGTCAAATACTAGCACTACAGTAAGTGATACTAGTTATTGACATGGTTCATTAAATGAGCTAATAACAAAATATTAAAACGGTAGTACACTTTTCAGGCTTCAGAATTAGTCCAAATTTTGCTTTCGAAGTGCCATGAAATCTCAAGAGGTCTTAAAATTGAATTCAATCCATGTGGTTTACCAACTTTGGTTGCAATACCTGAACTTCTCAAATGCATGCAAGTGCACCACTGCACCTTAAAATCTTTGAGGAAGTTATCAAAAAATGATCCGTGACCAGGTAACTCTCTCGTAGAAGGCTGTTACTTTCAGGGATGTGTACTTCTGGCCATCTAGTAGGTTTTAAGATCAGGAAAAGGTTGAAAAATTCCAGAGAGGTTTAAACAGAGTAGGTGACGGTAGGTTCCTATATGCTGAAATGCCCACACATGGCACTCGAAGCCTTTAAGCAGATCTTGCAGCAGGAAGGATTCTTCTAAAATGCATCGTGTGTTTTCAGTAGCTGCTCCAGCAGACATCACAACAGAGATTCACAGTTCACAGCTACAGCAAAGGGGTACGGACAAGTGGCCAAGACAAAGATGGTGTTTCCTAAATCCCACAATGTTTCAGTATTGGAAATTATGCCGGCTGTTAGTACCAGAGTGAGTAATCGCTTCACTGTCGTGATACCCACCAGAAAGCACTAAATATTTATGTTTGTTTTCCAAACTATCAAACTGTGACGAATTTCACATCTGGGCATCAAAGTCTCGAGAGAGACTTGCCATCTTCCAACTTCATCCTACCACGTTAAAGCAAACCCAGCACTTCAGCAGCTATTTTCTCCTCTATACTTAGAACTACATGCCACATCAACAGTGACTCATTCAATTTCTGACCTACAGACTCATAGAACACTACACTACAATTCTAAAGCACTAGCAAACAATCACCTGTCAAAACAGTGACGGCTAACACCGGCACATTTATACAACAACATCTCCTCAGACCATCCTCTGCAGTTTTGGCTGCGTTGCTGGTCCAACACGTAACTGAAAGAAATATTAAATCAATATACCAGGGCAAAAGTGAGCGCTTCAGTGAAGCCAGCAGCTGCCAAGTCCAGTCTCAGAAGTTCTGTGAGCTTATTGAGGGGGAGCTAAAACGAAACAAAAAAACAGTTTTCAACTTCCATCTAAAACCGTTTTTCTATTCTTTCCCGAGGTGATTCGGCCTGTTACATCAGGGTGAACCCACTGGGGACGTACTACGCTTGTGCGCTTGGAACCGCTGAAAGCGTCAGCCAGCTGCCTTCAGGCTTGCCTGAGGAAATGAATCTCCCAATTAGAGATTCAGCACGGGCTGCTTACTTAAACCCTGTCTTTTTTTCAAGTACCAGCAACCACTGGTCTTGGACTTATTCAGATCAGTGGGGCATCTGTTTTGTATCCTCTCCATGGTAAATACTTCTCAAGGCAAAGCATGTCAAAATATTTAATTCCTAGGTTCTGTTTTCCCCAAAGCCCTTCTGGCACGCACTAGTCATTTACTGACAACAGAGCGTTTATTTGAAGGGGCAATCTTACTTGATTAGCTATGGTGTACGTTTTCGGAATAGTCATCTGAATGTTGTTATAACCATAAGCTATTGCTGCATCTTCCACGATATCACATGCATGGATAATGTCCGCTCTGGTAGGAGGGATTTCAATCTCTATACTGTTCCCATTCCCTACGACGTGTGACTTCAAACACATCCTGGTCAGCAGCTTTGCAAGGCTGGAAGGAGTTTCACTGAAAAACAAAAGAGCAGTGATTTATGGATCTTGCACTGTATCGACTGTTTTTTCAAAGCAATCAATGTTTCTGCTGCAATGCCTTATATCCCAAAGAACCTCCCAGTGCCGTATGGACTGCACACACAGACTCAGCGTTCCGTCAGCGCCAGCTCAGATCCTGACTCACGAGACGGTCGTTTTGCTTTACTTCATTAACAGTTGTGTGAGGCCCTGAAGAACCACTCGCTTTCCTTGAAACAGGGGAAGGAGTCTTACAGAGTTGATCTAATTACCCCAAATAACCCCTGAATTTCTGATAAATTGAAAGAAAAAAGGTTAAAAAAATCATAGCGTTAACATTTTTAAAACAATGCAATCATCAGTGTTACCTAGTAGCTTTCTGATGATTAATGTTTATGAATAAAAACTATGTTTTCATTTGCAGCTCACACACCTGATTCCTATTTTCTTGTTAATGAGTTCAGGTTTCACCTTCTCTTTTCGGTAGGCCAGTTCCTAAAAACACAGACAAAGCTTTTTCAGCACGCACAATGCCTGCCATTCCTGCCTAAGAGGACTCCACGCTGGCGTCCTAGTAATCCAGCTTCTAATTACGATACTGAAATGACACCCACAGAAGGCAAGTGTGGAATACCAGGCTAAACCGAGCATTGTAAGATAACAGAATCCTTGGAAACGTATTCCAGTGCGTGATGTCAAAAGCTGTTCCCCGTTAAGCTAGAAGGCTGAACACAGCGTGAAATCCCTGTTACTGAAACTTCCCATAATTTCTGATACATGCAAGTAACAGAGTTTCTGAAAGTTTCTAGTCACCAGTTCATCCTAAGTCAAAGCCCTAAAGCAGTGAATGGTCATGCATGAGATCTCATGGTCTAATATAGATCAAATGACTTTTGGGAGGAAAAGGAAAGAAAACCTTCTATTTCCACATGGGCACAGAAATACCTAACGGTATTTTACTCAGAAAGTTTGCAACACATTTAAGAAAGTTATTTTGTATGCATTTACTCTGGTGTTTCTAAAGGTCTAGATACACAAACCTTTAAAAACAGCATCTAAAACTTTGGGGATTTTTTTGGTTCTGTTTTATCTAGGGAAGCCACTCTGGTTACGGCAGGGTTTTGTTGGATATTTCTTCAGGATTCTGGGTCTTTCCACTGTTGATTAAAGCTGACATGGCTACAAGAAAAAGCTAAAATATCACTAGAAAAACTCTCAGTAAAAGTAAGTTTCTTTCCCTCTAAACAGTTTGTACTTGCTTGATACATCTGATTTTATGAACTCAACCGGATCTCTGTCTTCAGTTACTTTCAGGAAACAGGAGGAATTGCTGTCTTTTACTTACTAAGAGGGGAAAAAAAGAAAAGACTCCTTTGCTGCGAAGAGGTCTGCCTGGGACTCTGAATGCAGGCAGGCCTGCACCTGAAGTCGATATCCTGCCTTACAAACTTTTACATGGCTGCAGTCTATAAAGCGAAAGACTGAAAAATCCAGTGTTACAAGGTTATTTTAACTGAAGGGCATTAAAGCTTCCAGATCTGATAAGTCAGTTATGCTGAGCCTGATTTCAGTTGTCCGCTGGTTTAAGCCTGAAGGACCTCTTCCTGCACTCATTCTCCCTGATTTGGAACGTGCAGGTTTTAAAGGCACAGATTATGACCTTTGACTGCAATCTTTACTTGTTCCTGAACGCGTTCGTATTGCATCACTCTACCACAACGGCGGTTACCACTCGCAACGTTAAACCCCAGCCTTCTTTTTGGAGTACCAGGCTATGGCGGTGAAACTGTATTTTTAGCCTTGCCATAAATTAGTGGAGCTTCAGGGTGAGTTTCCTAAATAAGGGGAAGCTGGAGCTGGAATTTTTGTGAGGCTAGAGAAGGCCCTAACTCACTAACACACAGATAGTGTCAAGCTGAGCTTTTACACTCTGCCTCAGAACCCCTGCAGTAAAAGATGACAGTGCCATTCCTACCAGACTGTGCGTAGATCACAGAATCACAGAATGGTTTGGGTTGGAAGGGACTTAAAGATCACCCAGTTCCAACCCCCTGCCATGGGCAGGGACACCTTCCACTAGACCAGGTTACTCCAAGCCTCATCCAGCCTGGCCTTGAACACTTCCAGGGATGAGGTATCCACAGCTTCTCTGGGCAACCCGTCCCAGTGCCTCCCCACCCTCACCATGAAGAATTTCTTCCTGATATCTAATCTAAACCTCCCCACTTTCAATTTAAACCCATTACCCCCTGTCCTGTCACTACAGGCCCTTGTAAAAAGTCCCCTCCCACCCTTTCCCCAAGGATACTGAGATATTGAATCTCTATGCTTACCGGATAGATGTGGGTCTTCCCATTTGGATAAACTACTTCTGCTGCTTCAACACTGAGAGATAGGAAAACAGGAGTAAAAATGTGTTTAACACATAGCCCAAATGTAAGGTCTCTCTGACTGGAGATTTATACTCACCTGAACGGCTTCTCACAGTATTCACTAAACATTGTGACCATAATATCGAGGACAATTTTTGCCTACAAAATAAAGATAATTATCACATTCAAATCTGTCATCTACTCGTGCTGAAGTAGACAAAATATCTTAATAAAACTGGGGAAAAAAATACCCTAATAATTTAACAACCAAAATCCAACAGTCTAGAGTACTAGGCTGAATTTTAAAAAATGTTTTTCTTCTGCTGCAAAGACATTTATGCAGACTTGAAATCTTTGGTTTTCAAGGTTCTGAAACATCTGTGTATCTTTGCTAAACTCTACTCTGAAGGTACACAGGGTCTTCGTTACCAGTCAGACCTGGGTCTTCCCATCCTTTACTCTACTTAGTCATTTAGCTGAAGTTCCAGGTGAGAATGTAGGGACTGCAGGACTGTGCACTGTTTGGAAATACATTACCAAATAACCTCATCTGCAAAACCTTTTGGTTTAAAGTTAATCTTTTAAGAGACGGCAACACATAATCGTGAGATTCAGATCAACTTCTCGATCTACGAGGGTTTTTTTGATGCCTCAACAGTGTAATTTCTTTCACGTAAACAGAACAGCACTGTTTTTATTTTTACTATCACAGCAAGCAGTAGCAAGAGCAGTTATTTATTAGTTTGCTTAGAAGCCACCCCCCCAACGTGTAAATTTATTTGTTTTGTTAACACATCATTGTGTTGTAGAGGAAGTTAAAAGCATTTTTGCTCTTAAGTGTCAAAATGCACACTTCAGGGAAACTATCAATGAATGCAGAGCCTATACTCAACAACAGGCAATTATAACTGCCAGGCTTTCATGCTTCCGATTCGAGTTGCAGGATTTGCATATGGAAAGACTTCGATTCGACAATTATTTGCACAGCGTCCCTGCTTGAAAGAGATAACTGAGAAGAAAAAAATGTCGTTTGCCTTCCCCTCAGCCTAAATACTCTTTATAAACAGTATTCCAGCAAAAGTTGTAATGAATTTTACTGTTTTCGAAGCCTTTCAGCTATAGAAAGTGTTCAACAACAATCCCCCGATTCACTTAAATTACTTTCCTGTACAAACTGAACACTCAGTGTCAATGTAAAGACACAGTAAAAACCAAAAATCCAATGAAATTACCTGGCTGCCTATAGAGCAAACCTAAAACTGTGCTGAAGGAATTCTACACAGTCCCACAACCTGCCCTGCCCCTTCGAAATCAGAGGACTGCTACCTGAACGCCTGCCTATGGCAGGTCTTTGACTTGGAGCCCTACCACCCAAAGGGAAAACAGTGGTGTTACGGCATGTTAAGAGCAGGAAAGATTAATTTACCTTTGTAATATCTGTGCCTGTACATTCAATAAACACATTTCTGGTGTTTACGCTTATTTTCGTATGATCTCCTAAAACACGTGAAGACAAAAAGATGTTAAGAAACGTTACTACTTTTCTTGCAATGACACTGATACGGACTCCTTTTGGGATTCATAAAGTTCACTGTCACCTTCCGAGGCTTAAAAAGCCACTATGTCTACTGCACCAACACTCACGATAGCGCAACAGCAGCTCTTCTTATTTCTAAGTGTATAAATCAGAAAGAGGAAAAAACACAGAAAGATGTACTGACGGGGCTACGCTTCCTACGAAGGACACACACACACACAGAGGCAGGTGGGTATCCAGCTGCCAAAGCAGCAGCACAGCGGCCATCTGCTGTCGCCAAGCGGTTCTGCACTCCCAGAGCCGCTCATCTTTCCTGGCCTCAGCAGCGTGCTGGCATGGGGGTGTGAGTGACGCCAAGAGAGCAGCCTTGGGCTGGAATGCGCGTTAAAGGCTTTTCAGAAGTGATTCAGTGATGAATATCCAATGCTACTTCTGTGAATAACCAAGATCTCTCGACACTGTTGTCTGCACTAGTGATTCGGGGCCTAGTATGGGCTCCTTTTAGGCCTGAGTTTGCCTGTGTCTGTACCAGGAGTCACAATGAGGTGTGTAGTGAAGGGATCTTGTATTCCCTTCCCTTCAATGCTGCCTGTACCTCTGCAGGTGGAATGTACTGAGCTCTTCTGGACTCACTTCAAAGCAAATATAACCCTTCACTTAAGTGCTTGTAGATAATCCAAAAAAACAATGCAGATGTTTACAATTCACTGTCTGTTTAAAAAGTGCCTTTAACCTGGAAGCTTCTCTCAAATACTCTTCTTTAAAACAGAGACTGGTGTTAAATTTGGCTCGATCTTTTTAACTGATAAAACATAAACACTGCATATTGTTTATAGGTGGAACGCTCCCAAACTGGAATGAGCCTAACAAAGGCAGAGTAGTGGTTGAGAGACCCTTCAGTTCAGAACAGTTGCTCTTACCAGTCCCTGTCACAGAGTGTGAGCTGCCTTTTAAGAAGATTTGGTTCGCTGTTTAAGATATAAATAAGGTCCAATTAGGAAAAACACATCCAAAGAGATTATCACAGCAGATTTCACTGGTCACTGTAGGGAGAGAGTTACTGATTCTTGGTCTGAATATATAGGTGTAGCGAAATATCCTTGCTAAGGGAGCAGTTCTTGCCAGGTCGTTAATTGGTTTTGGTAAGCATGGTTCTCAAAAATCACCCATAGTTTGTTTCTTTTGTATTCAGTAGAAAGCCGTGTTTACAACCAAAACAAGAAAGGCTAGACCTATTATTTTTAACTCACGGAAGTCTTTTGGAATCACTAGTGTGACAGCAAAAGTATTCATGAGAACTGGTTCACAGTGCTGACAAATACACTGGGCTTAAGACGTAGGTAAAAAGATCCCTGCTGCCACCACTTAAAATGAAGCA